TGTAACGAAGAGTTCCAATCACAGGGTGCCAACGAAAGAAACCAGGGGCCCCTGAACATCCATTGTAGTTTCATGATCACATATGAACCAGATGGCCATTTTAAACTACAAACCATCAACTAACCATCATGAGCTTGATGGTTCTCTGAGCTTGACGGCTTCCGCATAACTTCAAGAACAAGTTTTACAACACGCTTCACAATGTACTAAGGTCTACGTCTAACGTGAACATTATTTAACCTGCTTTTGACAATTGGCAATAAGTGATGGTACAGTATATAGTTTAAAAAGTTTACAAAATTTGTATTTTTTTTTCACACACGCCTATTGTTTTGCACCAGAACACATTGGGTGCTTCTCATTTCTTATTTGTGCATCCTCGTTTCCTTTCCTTGTTTCCTTTCCTTGCGTCTCAGCTCCACCCCCTGTAGGACGCGAGGGAAGGAAGCGAGGAAAGGAAAGGAGGACAGAGGAATCGAATAAAAGCTTTTTTATATACATTGGAGTACTTGATCACTCGAGCGTCACTCCACAGTGTCATCAGCAGCGCTAAAAGGATCTGCCCTTATGATGTTGAAGTTTGGTTATTTAATAAATTCATAATAAATAATAATAAAGATAGGCTATACTGTTGAAATATCTGAGATGTGTGGTTTATATAAACTGCAAAGGTAAAGTATAAATTAAAATGATTGTGACCGATGTGAAGGGGGAGGAGAATTGACACGTGCGTCACGTTTAGTCAATATAACAGTTCCGCGTAGGATGCACCTGTGTATCCTCGCTTATGACTCCTCAGGAAGCCTCCTATCTCCTCAATCCTCGACTCCTCACGGTGCAATTAGAGAATTGAGATGTCCTTCAAGATGGCTGAGCTCGATCGGTTTCCGGGTCATAGGAGGGAGGACGGAGGAGCGAGGAGACGAGGAGGGATATTGAGAAGCACCCATTGATTCATCAACTAGGGACCATTGATTACCATCATGCTCATTTTGCATGGATTATGAAGCATCAACATTGAGGGTTTCATCCACTTCCACTGACTCACAGAGACAGCTTAGTTTTGCACAGTTTGTATTTCACTGATAAAAGAAAGAAAGCCATACACATATGGGACTAAATTATAAGATAATTATAATTTGTTTTTTCCATTTTTGGAGCGAGTATTCATTTAATATCCAGTGTTACAGTTTTTCCTCCTTTGGTTTGGCTCATTTCTTGAAACAGAAATGACATTCTCAAAACTCTAAGATCATTTGGCAAAACAGTCTTACGGTTCAGCACAACACTATAGCTCACTTGCAAAAGCTCGTATCTCTCCCAAAACTGTTCACTCATGCTTCAAAACTAAATTCACTTCGCATATAAAGAGTCAGTGCAACCAAAATGACAAAGATCCTTCTCAATTGCTTTGGCTCATTTCTCGAAACAGACCGGATGTTCTCAACACTCTTGGTGCTTTTGCCAAAATAACGTGGATGGTTCGGCACAACACCAGGGTTCACCTGCAAAAGCTCATACCTCTCCCAAAACAGTTCACTCATGTGTCAAAACTAAATTTCATTCTCATTTAACCAGTCAGTGCCCCATGGACACTACATGGACACAAACAACATGGACACACCTCCAATTACATAGGAATGTTCTGTTCTCCACAAGTTCAATATACTGCCTGCCACCACTCCAGTGGCTCCAAACCTGGGGTACATGGATCCCTATGCAGAGGCACTACAGGGGGTATCTGACAGAAAGGGGAGGGTGAAAATCATCAATGACTAGACTTACTGAAATGTTAGAGTAAAACCCACAGTATTAGATAGATATTATCTAAAGATAGATATTACTGTAGACAGATTTACAGTACATGGGAGGCACTAATTGCAGCTCTTTTTTTTCCTCAAAACATACGGTTTGATTGATCACCTGAGATGTGTGAAACTCTGATTGATCACCTGAGATGTGTGAAACTCCTCCTTTGTTAGTCAAGTTCTGTCAATTGCTGTAATACAGTTTTTCTCAATTGCTTTGGCACATTTTTCGAAACAGTCTTAACATTCTCTAAACTGTGAGTGCAAATGTCACAACTGTTTGCAGGAACTTCAAAACTTTATAGCATGTCTGCAAAATGTAGTTACTCACCCAAAACATTTAATTCATGCTTCAAAACCTAGTTATTTTGTCAATAATTTGGCCAAGGCCACCAAAATCTAAAGTATTTTTGTCATTGTGTGAGCCACACTGGTCAAAATGTTTAGTTGTTTTTTCACCACAACAGTCAACCATGAAAATTAAGGGTTTATTGTAAACAAATCTCATATTTGTTGAGAAAAGTCAATAGTATGTAGAAAAAAAATATTCTATGAACATTTGTATTTTTACAGTGTTTATTTTTGTACTTCATGTGTACACAATATAAGTGTATTTACTGTACATGTAAAGTAACTGACAAGAGTAACACGATTTCACTTTACATTTCATATTTGTGTTTACCACAAATACACAAACAACAAATAACATTCATGAAAAAAAAATATATATTCTTGGTGGACATCTTGTCGCTCACGTTGGTCAGGCCAAAGATTTTCATCAACATCACATCTGATGTTACCATTGCCACACACCGTGGAAAAAAACTCCTTGAATGCCGCACCCATCCCCTGCAATGGTCAGATTTATGACATGATCCACAAGTGTGGCTCTGATTTCATCAGAGACTCTGACTCTTCTATTTCCACCTCTTCCTCGATTATTTCTTCCTCTACCACCACCACGTATTCTTACACGCCTTCCAATTGCTCTTCCATGAGCATGTTGGTGCAGTTCAGGGTTGCGAATGTCCTCCATTCTATATATTCTCTCTCTATATATATACTCTCTCTCTCTCTCTCTCTCTCTCTCTCTCTCTCTCTCTCTCTCTCTCTCTCTATAAACATATATATCAGCCCATTCTCACTCCCAAGGCGTCACCTAACTGACGCCTTGGGAAGCATTTGGACATGCTTCAATATCTGACGCTTTAGGCGCCCTTTAGCGTCAGTTAGATGACGCCCTAGGATCGCGTGTACCCTACCCCCACCCCACACCTAAACCTAACCGCGTCCTCTAACTGACGCTTTCCTTTAGCGTCAGTTAGATGACGCCGTAGGATCGCGTCATGTAAGTGACGCTAAAGGGCGCCTAAAACGTCAAATATTGAAGCATGGTCAAAGGTGACGCCTTGGGGTGAGAATGCGTTGTATATATATATATATATATATATATATATATATACTCCCAATATTGATTGGTTAAATGGTTGATTCATATTAGAGGTAATTTGCAATTAGATTGCGAATGCAATTAGAAGTCATGTGCCATTTTAGCAAACATTACAAACAATGTCAATGTCAGATATATTTTAGAATATACATTCATGTATACTAATTATGATAATTGAATAGATCGTTTTGAATGTTATGGCTTACACAATAAAAAATGTCTGAGAAGTTCTGAAGTGTTTGACAGTGTAAGTGAGAATCGAGTCATCAGTTTTGATCAACAAGCCATATACAATTATTTGTTGTCCAAACTGCAGACAGTTGTATGTACTCTTTGCACACATGTGCCAAAGCAATTGCAATTTGCTCAAATCAATAAGAAATTACAATCTGATGTGAAAAAGAAGCGAATTGTTCAGAGATCTGAACTTAATGTTTTGGGAAATAAAAAAAACATTTGAGAACTGAGCCAAAGCAATTGAGAAAAACTGTAAATGTATCGAATGTTCCAAGGGATTCATATATGGTATTCATGGTATTATGTTCTTGACTAATTTTGACAATTGAACAGACTATTGTGCATGTGATGACTTATACAATGAAATGACGCTGACACATTTTGGAGTGAACAACCATTAGACTGAGAATGAACAATCGGTTTAGATCAACAAGATCTATTCACTTGGAAATTGTGCTAAATGTAGGCTACCTGTACTTAATCATGTGCAAAGATGTACTGAGACATTGAGACATGTACTTAGGCATTTGTAATTTGATGAACTGAATGAGAAATTCAATTCTGTTGTGAACAATTGCCAAGTAGTTTGGAGGTTTGTCCATGTTGTTTTGAGAATGTCATTTCTGTTTCAAGAAATGAGCCAAACCAATGGAGAAAAACTGTAATAGCATTACACTTAACCAGCTCTCCTACTCTATTTCTGAGTCCCAGAGTATGATAAAAAAAAGAAAAGTTTTTACTCATTGTTAGAAAGTGTTTTTTTTATTTAACTAATTAAACATGCTTTTAGTTTAATAACCCTTAAATATGGTTAATGGACTGTTGGGAGGGTTCCCATTTTATTTCGCATATGTTAATATAGAGACATAGCAGATAAACACAAGCTTGAGGACATCACTGTATCTTAGTATCTTTAATTTATTTTTCATCTGTTTTCTTAAGCTGAGAGTTTATTATTGTGGAATTTGATTTTGTGTAATAACCAGCACTAAAGCAAACAGCATTTTCCGAAGGAAATCGATCAAGCACATTTGAGCTGTCAGCAGGATTACAGCCGGACAATGAGATTCATTGCAAATTGCTCTGAACGATTACAATGCCAACTTAAACTGATTCACTCTCCCTATGTTTCTATGATTTGTTGTGCGTGTGAGTGTGCGTATGCACAATGCCTCTCAAACTGCTCATAAACAATAAACCGCGACCTTTGCGAGAGGAGGCGGGCAAATAACGGATAGAATGTGCTAATTCAATTACGCAAGTTGAGTAATTGCCTCGGTCAGTGTTGTGGATTGAGCCTATGGCTCAAACGTCCTTGGGATAAATTAAAAGCCGGGATAATGATGAAGATGGAAGGGGGAGGAGTTCACTGTAGAACAAAACAATGAATCTAGCATTTCTCCTGGAATGAATCTTTAGCTTATTAGCACAAACACACACACACACACACACATTGTGGCTAAGCATGCAATGCCAAGCAGGGTGTCGCAGGAGTATTGTGGTCTTCATAAATAGGTGTTGAGTTGGCTGAAGACGGTGCCCTGGAGGCTGAGGTGTCTGCTGAAGCTTAGCTGAGCGTTTCTGTTGTGTTGCTCGGCTAGCGTGATGAATACGCTGCCGTATTCACCTTCTATTCTTCTCCGACTTCAGCGTAGCACAATAGAAGGATTTATGAACACGGACACAAAAAAATAAATAAAAAAAACACACAAAAAAACTGCACTAAGCTTCTGGCTCAAACAAAATGCTTTAAAACCTGCAGCTGCAATCTAGGTTACGGACTGCATCCACCATTTTTAACCACACACACTAGGCTATGTTCTCATTTTCACTCTCTTTCGCTCTCTCTGCCTGTCTGTCTACCTGATTAATTTAGGCTGTCTGACTGTTGGACTGAGTTGGATTTCAGTTATTAAAGGCTGCTCTTTCTCCCACTAGCGCGCAGGGGCAACGACACCCGCTAATTAGGATCACCCTCACGCAGGGTTGCTCTTTCTCTGGCCACACCACTGGCCCCCGTTCTGCTGTGGAGTGTGCCGTTGTGTTTCTGGATGCCAAACAGAGTAAAGACATCATATGCCCACTTACAATTTGGACCGTTTACGTCGAAAGAGAGGAGGAGGAGCTTTTGACGCATGGTGTGTGCATGTGTTTGTGCATGTGTCTGTGAACATGTGTTTGGCAAAAGATGAAGACAGTGATGCAAATACAAGCAGAAGTGATTGCATGCTCTGGGGATCGTGTTCCAGTTTGATCCTGCACTGCATGCTAGTGTCGGCTTGACAGGCGCATTGCTGCCATCTAGATGACATGTTTGGAATAGTGCTATACCAATTTTTGGACATTTTTAGTATGCAAAGTACACATGGGATACTTAATACATAAAATACAGATGAAGTGCTACATTTGCCACAATGCACACTGTGCATATCCCAAAAAGCACACTGCACAGACTCTCAATGTAATGTGCTCAACTTGACCTTCTATCTCCCATCTGACAGATGAGCCATTAATAATTACAGTTTTCTCATTACTTGTCTAGAGTTTTGTACATCTCTGGAATTTAAGTTCATTTTTACACAAAATTTAATGAAAATTTAGTTTGAAATGTTAATTGTGGAATAAGTGTGTGTAGTATGTAGTAGTATGAAAACAGTAGTCTAGTATTACATTCTGAATGGAGCCACATTGCAATAATCTTTTCCCAGATATCTGTACATTGCTTTCCATAAAAAAGATTAAAATTATATATATAAGATATATAATAAGATTAAAAAACTTCTTTTTTTTTACACTGCCATTTTTTCTTTAAAAATAAAACGAAAAAACAATCGTGAGATTTAGTGAGGAAAGTGTGAGAAAGAATTTTGAAATGCAGAATTTCATCAATAAATAAATAAATAAATAATAATAATTCTCAATCGTTCCAGAACAATAGACGTTGACTATGCTTCATTAAGTATGGATAATTAAAAGATTAATTAGTCAAGCCTAATTATGGATACAGAAAAATATGCACATACACTCCAACTTCGGCAATTGCCACCTGGCGAGAAAATATTTAATTTCTTATGAATGTGTTATTCTAAGAACACAAACTTTTCACTTATGAATGATCTTGGCTTTAAAACGATGAGTCTACAAGGCTGTGGCACTCGCTGTAACTGCCGTGACCCTACACAGAATTGTCTCGCAAGCTCAAGAGCCCATTTGAGGGATGAAATTGAATTTGCCTCTATGATTAGAAATGTCAGAGTGATGAAACGGCGTATAACTGCCGGAGGTTAAACATGGGAGACATCATTAAAGAAACAGAAGCCAACTTATTCTTCATTAATGGAGACAGAAAAAGAAAGGGAGGAATAAAAAGAGAGACAGAGTCAGAGGAGAAGCATTTCTGCGTATGCTTTGCCATGTTTGAGAGGCTGCTGGGCTAATTTGACATTTGAACATTTACTGCACCTCATTACAACAGCTCACAGCCTATTAATCTGCCGACTGGATAGATGGACCACACATTCCTCACTGTCATCTCTCACTCACTCAAAAACACTTTTACAAAAAGAGGACTTTGTCCTGAATCAGCATCATTTGTTTTTCCTGGGGCAATATTTATATTAGCCAGTCACAGCCCTCAACTCCGCCCCTTTTAAATTAGAGGGCGATGCATATTGTTTGCATGTTGTTCAAGGAACCACAAAGAATGTAAAGCCACTAACCAATTCTACTTGTTTAAATCTCATTAAGAGATTCCTTATACATTTAAAGGGATAGTTCACTTTGAAATTAATTTTTGATATGTTTTAGCTTACCTCAAGGCCATCCAAGATGTAGGTGTCTTTGTTTCCACAGTATTTTCAATTTTGATATTTTTAGGTCAAACCGTTCTTGTCTGTCAGTCATATAATGAAGGTTTATGGGGTCCACCTCAAAGAGCATGCACAGAGAAGTCCAAATTAAACATGAGTTAATGACTCGTATGTAAGTACACATTGATGGCCTAGGACACGAAACTAGTGGTTTGTGTGAGAAAACGAACAGTATTTATATCGTTTTACCTCTTGTAATCACAGCCACGTCCAAGTGATCTGAAGGCATGGGTGCTTCGTTCTGCGCAAGCGCCAAAAAGCTCCGGAAGTAATCTCTTGCACGGTTACGAAACAAAAAAATCAACGTTGCCTGTTGATATATCAAAATCGTCTTCTATTGCAATTTCCTGTATTTCTAAATATGTTTAGATCTTCACAGTGAGGGATAACACTTCTGTAAACAATGAGTGACGTACACGCGCGAAATCACTTCCGGGGCTTTCCGGCGCTTGTGCAGACCAAAGCGCCCGCTCCCTCAGAGTACTTGGACATGACTGTGATTACAAGAGGTAAAAACGATATAAATACTTTTCGTTTTCTCACACAAACCGCTCGTTTCGTGTCCAACCACTCATTAGGCCATCAATGTGTACTTACATTTACGAGTCATTAAATCATGTTTAATTTGGACTTCTCTGTGCATGCTCTTTGAGGTGGACCCCATAAACCTGCATTATATGACTGACAGACAACAACGGTTTGACCTAAAAATATCAAAATTGAAAATACTGTGGAAACAAATACTCCTACATCTTGGATGCCCTTGAGTAAGCTAAAACATATCAAAAATTAATTTCAAAGTGAACTATCCCTTTAACAACACTAAGGGCCAATCCCAATTCTACCCCTTACCCCTTCCCTTTCCCCTACCCCTTCGCCTTCCCCTTGACCCTTGAAACAGAGTGGCAATGCGTAGGGGTGAAAATATTCCCCTAAGAAATGGGACACCACTACGCCTCCGTTAAACGTCATTATAAGTCGTCGCTAGCGCCTACGTCACAGGAGATGCGCCGATGTTTATCACAACTTCCAAGATCCCGTCGACAGCTGCAGTTATCTCAGTCGCGTGGGTTACAGCTATTTTCTTGCATCTTGTGAAGTTCGCAGGAAACAACGGAGACGACGAAAATATGTTGCGGGACTATCGTTAGCAAACTACAGTAATTTTAGCGATTTTTTTTTTTTTACAAACGTTTCTGTGAAGAAACTGACCGTAAATATGAACACAATATTGAATGTAACATATAAAGCAAATCATTATTTGTCGTTATAATACTTATTAAAGCCACAAATACTTAAATTTATGGGTCTCCTTTGTCGCTTGGGCAGCCAGCCTGGGTTAGCAGTGACACTTCTCATACCCCTTCGTTTGAAGTGTGCTCCCGAAAAATCTTCGTTTGAAGGGCTATCTGGCCCTTCACCCTAGCCCTCCCCCTCCAACCAAAAGAGAATTGGGACAGCCCTACCCCTTCACGTGGACGCGCAAAACGGAGGGGAAGGGGAAAGTGAAGGGGTAAGGGGTAGAATTGGGATTGGCCCTAAATAGCACAGAAACTTCAAAATCATTAATAGCACACACACACACACAAAATCAAAAACCTGAAAGAGCCACACTATGGGTGCACCCGAAATAGAATATATTTAAACGTTCCTGTTTCACTATAAAATCAACATAAAGCACTTGTCAAATGGGTCTTTTTAATGGTTAGGACCCAATTACATTCAACCACTTCTTTGTATCTGCAAAATCCAATCACAGGATTTTGGGCAACATAACAAAAACCATCATCTGCAAAAAAGTGAACTTAACCAGTCTAGTCAGATGCATAATTCCCATTAACACGAGCAACTGAAGCACAAAGAACATGCCATTACAAAAGTGTTCTCATTATAATGTTATGTAAAAGTTTGGCGCTGCAAAACTTGCACTTGCACTTTCTGAGAAACCAACCCAAACAAACACGAACAAGCAATGCCAACGAAGCCTTACCCCAGACACTGTTTATCTCTGTACGTGTGATGCTACAACCAGCTGAAGGAAAGTGTAAAGGGATCACTCACGGTCGTTGCACTGGGTGCCGGAGTACGAGGTCATGGAGCAGTCGCAGGTGAAGTTCTCCCACTGCTGGATGCACACACCCATGTTGGCGCACGAATCCTCCTGGCATGTAGTGCTGGGCCCTGACGTGGAGGAGACAGGAACAGCGTGAGTCAATAGTAATGACACAGTTCAACAGGCAACTCTGTCACAGGCAGCACAGCAAGACCAGCATGCATGCAAGGTCATTCACGGGTCAGCATGAACGCTGCGTATACTGAATACTGAACCACGCTGCAGTAGTGGTGGAACATTCAGACAAGCAAAAAAAAAAAAAAAATCAGTATGTTGGTCTTGTTTATCCAGTAAAAATATACAAATTTTTGTAAAAAAAACAAAAAAAAAAACAGATAAATTAATTTAGGCAGCAGAGGGATTTGCACTTTTTTTACTTGGCAAGTTTTGTTTGATACAGTAAACCGATTACACTTTATTTTAAGGTGTTTTATTTTACATCAGATTATCAGATTTAATATAAGCATAAAAATAGCGAAGTTTTCAAGTCACATTTCCATTTTGATCATTGGTTACCATGATTTGTGATTACTCACACCTGTTTCTTTTTTAGTTCATTGGTTCATTCAGTTGATTATCTGTTGTTGTTTGTGTTGTGTTAGCACACTGTTAGCAGTACTGTAAGTGTTTTTGTGAATTATGTTGTTGGATTATTGTCTTGCTTTTGTATATTAATGTGGTGCAATTAGATCCACTTTGTCTTGCCTTATTTTTATTTTTATTTTTTTGCCTGATCCTGCTCTGACAGAAGTATGGTCAAATGGAGTTCTTGCTATTTTTTCTTTTCTTTTATTTAGCTATTAACTAGTTGCGCATTAGCATGAATATTACTAGGATTTTGGCTACCCAATACCTAAACGTAACAACTACTTTACTAACTATTAATGAGGAGTAATTCGATGTTTGAGGCAGTTTCAAGTTTGAGAGTAACAACAAAAAATGAGGTTCCTGCAAATTTGTTTTCTCTGACTGTGCATAATCTACTCTATTTATCCGCTAATCCTTTGCCATTATGTGATATTTCAACTGTTCCCACACTTCCCCCAGTAATTCTTATGATATATAAGGTTTTTACCAACAACAAAATATAAAAAAGAGTGAGAAAAATAAACTTAACTCAAAATATATTAACAGGAAGCATGTATTGATATATCTTCAGCAAGTATACTGTTTTATGATTATTTATATATTCACTGGAAAACAAGACACCAATTTTTTTTATTTTATTTTTTAGCAGTGACAAATATCTTGGATATATCTCATATATCAAATGGACAAATCCATTCCAAGACATAAAAACAGAAATGCTGAACACTGCTAGAAAAAAAAAAAAGAAAAAGAAAAAGAAAAAAAGTGATATGCGATGTGAATACACCTACTCACATTTCACTTTTCAAAAATGTGTTCACATTCCACACTTATAGACAGTTACTAAAGTAATGCAAACAATTCTATTTACGCTCTATCCAAATTCATTCAAGCCATACTGAGATGTCAATTCCAGCAGCTCAGATCACAAACAAAAGAAACCAAACAGAAAAAAAAAAAAAAAAAAAAAAACATGCATTCAAAACAAAGAGCGAAGCCCTGAGTACGGATGTTTGAAAGTGCCCTCTGGCTGAAAGTGCTTTTATTGAGTTGGGGAAGCAATGGAAGATTTCTTTCTTTCCTCTTGCTGGTTTCCGCCTCTAATGATTCCCCTACTGAACCACTCTTGGATGCACTCAACACAATATAAATGAGTAATTACCAAAACATCCATTAAAATGTTTCAGTAAGGGAGACAACTGTGGCCAATTGCCGTAGAACAGCGGGACACTAGACAATGTCTCGATTTTGATGTGCCTTCAGTGGAAAGCTTTGAGCAGGAAGCTTCTTAAGGAGGATATTTATAGGGTTTGGATTTATTCTTAGTTCCCCTCAGCTACTGCACAGGTCAGCGATTAAATAAATTGTAGAAAATGCTGCAACTTTGTATAATTTTAATGTGACAGACAGACAGATAGAAAGATAGATAGGTAGATAGATAGATAGATAGACAGACAGACAGACAGACAGACAGACAGACAGACAGACAGACAGACAGACAGACAGACAGACAGACAGACAGACAGACAGACAGACAGACAGACAGATAGATAGATAGATAGATAGATAGATAGATAGATAGATAGATAGATAGATAGATAAACAGACATACAGACAGACATACAGATAGATAGATAGATAGATAGATAGATAGATAGATAGATAGATAGATAGATAGATAGATAGATAGATAGATAGATAGATAGATAGATAGATAGATAGATAGATAGATAGATAGATAGATAGATAGATATGCATAAAGATAGATATACAGAAAGATGATAGTTCGATGGATAGATCAATGGATAAATGAGGGAGAGAAAGATATATAGACAGACAGATGATAGACAGACAGACAAACAAATAGATATACAAATAGACAGATTGACAGACCGACAGACAGAGAGACATACCGATAGATAGACAGACAGACAGGTCGATAGACAGAAAGATAGATAGACAGACAGATAGAGATACAGATCTGTCTGTCTATCTATCTAGAGAGGTCGATAGACAGAAAGATAGAGATACAGATAGATAGATAGAGATACAGATAGATAGATAGATAGATAGACATACAGACAGACAGAGACATACAGATAGACAGACATACAGACAGATGACAGATACATGACAGACAGACAGACAGATAGTGTTCGATCGTGTTCTGGTGTTTGAGTATTTGTTTTGTGGAGAAACATTAATATTAAATCTCAGTGCAACTTTCAGCCAGGTGCGTGTGAATGAGGTGAACAGGTCAAACCCTCTACCTTGCAGGTCAGCTTTGGTGAAACCAACTGTGTTAGCAGGAAATTTCAGAAAGAATTGGATCATAAAAAAGGGTTGGTTAGTGGAGGAAGGTCAGCCGAGAGAGAGGGGCAAAGATGTATGAAGGATAAAGAGAGAGTAACATGATACTGATTTTAGTAAGGCAGGGATAATGCTGAGGGAGTTTAAATTATTTTCTACAGTTAAACAAATGTACCTCACTCAAATCTGTAATAAAAAAAGATTGTGGATACATCATACATTACTGGCAACTACTGATAACAGGCCTTTGGTTAAGGCGCCATCTAGTGGTTACAGAAGCTCTCAACATATCAGCAAAACAAGAGTTCAATACAACACCAATATATATACGATTTAGAAAGACAGAAGATGTGTAGAGGTTAAATCAGGTTTGAATTGAATGGTTTAAACATTAATGTGTCACAATGAGGTGTGATGAGTCACATATACCTTCACAGCCCCGTTCGATCTGCCCGCTGCGGAACAGAGCGTCATTGATGAGGTCTGGCAGACGGCCGTTGAGATCCATGGAAGCTAAGCAGCCCTGGAAACCCTCGCGAGACACCACCAGCTTCGGCAGGATCTGGTACATGTTGGGCCCCAGACCGGCCACAAACAGATCACCTGCAAACGAGTGGAACAAGACAACTCAAATACGTGTTTTGATATTTTAAAATGTCAAACGTACAATCAAAAATGTCATAAAAAGGCCAAGCTGACCTTTCAGGTCCAGATTTTTGGCTCCGTTGACCACCTGGCTGACAGACTTGGCGTCCACCTTTAACGTGTGCGTGTTGCTGGCGTCGCGAGTGATCACCACATTGTGCCACTGGTTGTCGTTAAGAGGACTGTCGCTGTTTCCCTTCAGAAGACTCGGTCCGTTTCCAAGGTCAAACACATAGTGGATATACCTGATAAACACACACACACACACACACACTGAGCTCCACGTCCCAAATCCATCCAAGTGCACTTCACTGAAAAACACTCATCCTAACTACACACTGAAGCAAACTCAGATTATCAACCGAGAGACTTCTCTATAAGAGTAAAGGCAGAGATTTTATACTCTACTACAGGACAGGCCACAGACCAAGAGGATCAAGCATTTAGATGGACAAGGCTAAACATTCATGTCACGATCCCAGCCTGTGTTTCCCTGTCTTGTGTGGACTTTTATCATCCTCTGTAGTTTTTCTTGTTGATAATTTATAATTCAGTGTCCCCAACTAAGCAACCCAGAGGCGAGCTTTAAGGAACACAAACTCCAGTGACTCCAAACAGGTGACAGAATGGAGAAAAGAAAATTTGGAAGAACCCAGGCTCAGTCGTTTCCCTCATCAGTCCCTTGTTATCTTGTGTAGAAATATGGGAGTATACAGTGTTTCTCGTGTTCTTTGTCTTAGTTGACCAATTCACATGGGCAAATCTGCCTCTAAAATTGTTTCACTCTAAATTGCGAGATATACAGGGGGAGTGGCTTTATTACATCAAATACATGTGCACTGAAGGTCCAGGTCAATGTACTGTACTGATTGGTCTCAAACCCAGAATTAAAGCTGCCCTGGAGCAGGTTAGCCATGTACTGCAAGTTATAGCGATTAAACCCGCTAAAAACCAATCCACCTTCTTGAGCCCGAAAAACCAAATTTTGCTCAAACTAATGTCAAATTTACCTGGGGGAAGCAACTGAAACCGGCAACCGGCCACAGGTGTTGTCCTTCTGTGGATGTACAGTGTTGGTTTTAGTTCCTGTTGTTTTGATTTATCTTGTTCCGGGCTAAATTTACTTCTGTTATCATGTTTTAATAAACCATCTGCTGCATTTGGATCCAACATGCTGTTATTACTAAAACAGCCACCATTAAACTCGATTTTATCCAACCTTGATTTTATTAAATGAAGTAGCCTTGATTTTATTGGGTCAACATTACTTTTCCTCTGCCTGCATAGTCATGGTTACATAAAAAAAAAAAAAAAACGTTTTCGAAGAATACCAATTAAGTTCTTTGATGAAAGATTGTCAAAACAAATCAAACATTTTTTTTTTTCCAGAATGTTTGCTGATGATTTGTGCACAATATTAGAGATAGTAAACTAAAACTTTTTGATTTTATGAAGACTATTTAAGCAAGTTTTACTTTTTTACTTTCCATATTACAACTTGGTCTAATTAATTACATTTTAAATAACTTTTAAACCTATTTGGTATTAGTAACAGACAACAAATGCTGTCATTTACAGAGATCATGTGCCATTATTTATGCTGAAAGTAGAGCTTAATAGGGTTGGCTGATTCCAGAACATTTGGTTGTCAGTTTTTTTTTTTTTTCATCCATATTAATCAAGTCAATTTTCGACTTTCAATTAAACATCTTTTTATATTACAAGGTTGGAAGCTAAGGTGAAATCCTCTGTAATTTAACATTGCATATTGGTCTTTTGTTCGCTTAACTCTCATTTCATGTTGATCAATCGTTTTTAAATCTGTTTTAAATCATTGCTGATGTGGTGTTTTGGTCATCGGTATTATCATTTCTCTCTCTCACTGGAAGCAACTTGCTGAGCAAATCTGTTTGGTGGACAGATTTAAAAGATTTGTGTCACTAAGCTGAAAAAAAATACCCAACTCCTAGCTTTTCCTCCTACTTATGTAATGACGTATATTACAGCAAGACTCAATGAATGAATCAGTCAGTGAGCATGAACAAATCATTTCAGGGGACATATTCAGAAGATATGTATCATTGGAATGAATCAATTCCTCCAATTTTAGCTATTCGAGGTCTTCTGGGCCGTGTAGTAGTTTAATAATCTGGGGCCATATTCAATGAACATTTGTTATTTCCACTGATAATTCCTATTCCCAGCCGGGGGAGAACTCTGGGTTTGGGTCCTCGATCCCATCAAAATATGCTTATTTTATTCTTTTACTGTTCAATCATCAACTGCTACAGGTAATATGAGATTATTTTCTTATTCATTTATTAAAGATTTATTTTAGGCGTTTTTGCCTTTTTATTATGACAGGACAGTGAATAGACAGGAAGCAAAGTGGAAGAGAGAAAGGGAGGATGGGATCGGGAAACTCGGGTCACCAGATCTGCCCCCAAGGCTATCGGGCCAAACTTTATTCTTCATCATTCAATGCATATTGCCTGTACATAAATGAACATTTAATTTATGTCAGGGCAGATTAAAATCTATAAATCAAAATATGTAATGCATTTAATCTAGAAGAGATTAGAATCTGGATGCAGAATAACTTCCTGGAATTGAACAGAAACTTAGTGGTTCAGTGGCGGCTACTCGCAAGGCCGACGTTATAAATAAATCCATTATTAATATTATTATTATGAAGAAAAGGCTCAGCACACAAGGCCTATAGCATATTGCCTCAATGGTGTTCAGTGTATTTGGGCAGATTGCTAAAGCGGATTGCCAGCAACAGCCATTTTAGGATTGTTTGTGATTTAGTGACTTAGTCCTCTTAACTAAACTAACCTTAACTTTTTACAGATATAGGAGCTTAGCCTGGGAAAACCCAGACAACTCCCGGCAAATTTAGATTTGCTCTGAAAGTTAGTCTGGCAAAGAGCTCATTCAAGCCCATTTCCAATCACGGCACCAATCAGAAACGTTGGGGCGGGCTTTACACAATGACGACAGCGCTCGGATTTTGAAGCAGATTTTATAGCCTACATTACAAAGATGGATGCCACCGTCGAACATCACTCGTTCGAATCCGCTATCGCGTCTGTTTTAAGCAATTTGAGCGTTTCCTTTTTGTTAAAAACCGAGCAAAGAACAACACTCTAAGATGTTTCTCTGCCGGCCGCCGCTCTGCATACGTCATCACCTTCATCGCTCTGATTGGTTTTAGGTCTACCCGCGACGTCCGTTGGTGACGCCCCTCTGGAAATTATTTGTCTATGACGCTTTGCCAGACCATAACTCAGTTACAACTGAGAATGGTCTGGTTTTAACCAGGCTAATAGGAGCTGGTTTTAGCACTAAAATTCTTTGTGAAATAATCTTAGAACAAACTTTTAGGAGTCCTAAAAGTAGGACTGACAAGCCCATTATGTTTAAGAGTGTCTCCTAAACCGGTAAGTTAGGAGCTACTTTTACTGTACGTTCACACCGCCGCCGACTTGAGCTTCCAAAGCCTCCGGAAGTCATTCATTTTCAATGGAAGCTGGCTTCTCTCAGCTGCCAGGAGCGTCAAATCCATCGGCGTCGCATTTTGGGCGTTTTGAGCATTTTGAGCGTCAATCAGAAAGTTGAAAGAAGCTCAACTTTATGGTAATGAGCTGTGACGCGGTTCAGCGGCAAGCAGCGGCAAAACGCCAGCAACCAATCGGAATATAGACGTCCTTCACGCTGGCTGATTCCAGAGAAACATGAATGTAAACTTTCGTTCCTACCAAAACATTAGCTCAGAGAAAATGGAAGAGAAGCTAATCATCGCCGTTGCTGTGTTTCCGACGGATTTCCGACTGGTTTCGTATCATTTATGACATGACGTTGTTTGCTTAAAGGGACCGCATGAGCGCAACTTTTATTTGAAATATTTACGATTGCTCGTTTTAAAGCGGGAGTGCAATTAATTTGCTCACGGTGACACCGATTTGACCGCAATAATAATAATAATAATAGCTAACTATTTTTTTCCCGACCAAATGTGACCAAAAAGGTTATTAAAATGTATTGCTTGTTTTTTTTCTTCTGTTTATTACATTTCATGTTGTGACACTTCTATTCTCCCTGCAACGTCAAAGCGTCAACAAGCTTCCCCGTACTTTTAGACAAGCGTCCTTGACAGGGTGGCCAGAGCTTCTTTGACGCTCAAGTAGGCGGTGGTGTGAACGCACAGTTAGTCTTAAGATGTTTTGTGAATAAGTCCCCTGCATTCTAAAAATGAACACACTTTTAGCCACGTCACGGCCGACTCCTCACAATGGATTCTTCATGGGATCGATTCCCAGCCTTACCTTTCAACCTAAAAAAATTTGGTAAAACCTGGAAACTGATACTTTGAACCCTCCTCTTTTCCACTCACCCTTTGACAAGCTCTACGGCAATAAAATCATTCCCGTCTCCACTGTTGAAGAGGATGAATCCGTCACCCGAGGTGGTTTTAAACTGAAAGAACAGGTGCATGGTGTTATATGCCTGGAGCGTAGCAAGACCCAGATAGCTTCCTTTGGTCTTGAAGGTAACAGGATCGGCCACGATGGAGCGCATGCCGAAACGAGCATTTAGCTCACAGAATTCGATGTCCCCGTTCTTGCACATGTCGATGTAGAAAAGGCCGTTGAACTTCAGGCCTTGCAGGTGACCGATGAAGTTGGATGGAGCCGTGGAGGCAAAGCGCCGTTCTGTCAGAATCCCGGTCTCAATGTTACTGAACTCCAGCCGAGTGTGGTCACCATTCATCTGACCTGTGAAAGAAGAGTAGGAGGTCTTGGTGAAGCGATTAGTAAGTGTTGGACTAATGCATTGTATAGGGGGCAGATGCTTATACTGCATTCGTACCTTCTGCCACATCATCATCCACCATGAGTTTGAAGTTTTTACCACGCCGCATCACTTTGACTGAGTGCCAATCATTGTCGTTCACTTTCTGGCCAGCGTACAATGTCTCTGGTCCTTTACCTGAGAATGATGTGTGTCAGTTAGTGTTTACACACACTAGCGTTGCAAATCACATTTCTGGCTTCTCACCATTGTAATAAATCATGCCATGTGTAAAGGTCACACACTCGTATGTGAGAAGAAAAAAAAAATTTTGGTATGCATTTTCAGACTTCTGTCATAAAGATGATAGACCACAAAAAAATATTTTAATTGAGGTACATTGAGAGAGTCAATAATTCAGAGATAAGTATAAAATCAACTGCTGTTACTCAGAAAAAGGCCAAAGCGTGAAACAAAACCAAAGTATGGCTGAGGTATGTGTGGAAAAGCATATCCTTTCTGCAAAAATGATAAAAGGGTTGGTTCACCCTCAAATTTTGTTTTATTATGTTATAATTTACTCACCCCCAAGTAAGCCAAACAGAATCAGAGTTTTATTAAAAAAAAAATATCATGGCTCTTCCAAGATTTATAATGGGAGTGCATGGTAAAAAAAAATAAAATAAATAAATAAATCCAAAAGTGCATCCATCCATCATAAGAGTAATCCATATGACTTCAGGGTTAATAAAGGCCTTCTGAAGTGCAGAGATGCATTTTTGCAAGACAAATATCCACATTTATAACTTTATAAATCACTGGATTGGATGTAATTACGCTTGAGTTTGTTGCCCAGCATTATTTGTTTGAACCACAAGACTTGATTACTCTCACCTAAGATTGTTATTACAGTTTATAAAGTTATAATTATGAATATTTTATTTACAAAAAACACATGCTTTGCTTCAGAAGGTCTTAACCCCCTGAAATCATATGGATTACTTTTATGATGGGTGGATGCACTTTTTTGGGCTTCAAAATAATGGTATCATTCACTGCCATTATAAAGCTTGGAAGAGCCAGGATAACTCTGATTGTGTTTGGCTGAAAGAAAGTCGTATACACCTAGGATGGCTTGAGGGTGAGTAAATTAGGGGGTACTTTTCATATTTGGGTTAACTATCCCTTTAAGTATACTACTATGCTAGTAATTTGTGGTGCTAAGTGCCCTGTATGTGCTAATGTATATGCTAATCCACTCATACATAGTCGTAGGCATTTATGTTTTAAAGTGCACTCATACAAACATACTAATAAAGAACAAGTAGAATTAGTCCAAAGCACCGATTGTTGTACAGATTTATTTGGTAACATTAACATAAGCTGCTCAAATATATTGAGTTTTTATACTTCAAATTATCGAGGCAAAGTGCCCCTCTAAATGCACTGTAGAATTAAAATTGCATAAGTAAATCAGCACTGTATTACCACTTTCTTTCCAGCCACTGTGCTTTTAATTGGAGAATATGCTTAATAAACAACACCCTTTAACTGAAACAAGCTCTAAATGACCTGCCCTGTGTCTTTATACACATCTACACAAGTTTGGAGTTTTTATAGTTAGTTAAGATAATTTAAGGTTGATGGTGATATAACTCTTGAGCAATGACGGTAATTAAATAAAACCACATTAAGATTACTTTATAGTAAATTACTTTAAATTTAACATACATTTGTTTTTCTCTCCATCATTTCGAGACACACAAGTCTTTTCCCTTCATTATAACAACAATTATACTTAATAGTGTATAAATGTCTTCAATGAGACCTGAGATTTGAATGCGACTCAATGGAAGATGCGGTGCTCTGCGGCCACGAGCGCCCCCTTGAGGACTATTATGATTGACAAACTATCGAACTGTTATTTAGTCGAGTGACTTAGTGACAGCAGATGTATAGCTGCCTTGATTCTAGACACATTTTTCAAATGTTCTCTATCGATTTAAAAAATAAATAAAACATCTGTAGTGTAGTGTCATGAACCAAGCAAAACACTTTAAAACCTGAAATTTTACAATATTTGATTAGAGCAAAATACAAAAATACATAATAAAAAAGAATAATAATTAATAAAAATGTGGTAACACTTTACAGTAAGGTTCATTAGTTACCATCAGTTAATGTATTAACTAACAAGAACTCTTTGTTGGTCATGTGAGTTAACAGTGTATTAACTAATGTTAACAAATACAACTTTTGATAGTAAATATTAGTAAATATTTAACAATTAAATAATTAACATCAACAAAGATTAATATTGATGTTGCAGAAGTGCAGTTCGTGTTAACAAATGTAGTTAGCTAAGTAAGGGATAATGTACATCCAGCCGGTTGTTCTCTCAAAATAACCCCCGACAGGGTGATGAGGGCTGGGGAATGTACTGTACGTTATCCTGCTTATTACATGGCTACTTGCCACATAAGTAAATAATTAGACACGATATATTGATCCGAGTCGAAGTATTTAATTAGCACTTTAAAAGCAAAGCTCCCGCAGAGAGAGAGCAGTTTCAGCAGCAAGCTCAAACTACACAGACATTTAAGAGATACGGTATACAGTCATTCATACCACTTATTACATAGCATATCACCAAATAAATAATTATGGGGATAAGATATGAAGAGTTCAGATGCAAAAGCCTCTAAATGCCATTTGAAATTTTCTTCTTTAATGATGATTTTTATCAAACTTGTATACTTAAGTTAAGTAATTTCACTTAAATGGCAATGATAATTACCTATTAATTGTTATTTAAGTGAAATTACTGAACTTAAATATACAAGTTTGATAAAAATCATCATTGAAGAAGAAAATTTCAAATGGTATTTAGAGGCTTTTGCATCTGAACTCTTCATATATTGATTTCAGATTAAACTGTTTTAAAATCGGACCTGTTTGTATCTCATAATCCAACTAAATAGACACAAAATGGCAGAATCTGCGTTTGTATGAAACGAGAGAGAGCGAGTCCACGATACTGGATGGCATAATTAAATATCTGTACACAAAATATTAATTCCGACTGAGTTTTAATATTTTATTAGCTCACCTATTACAAAACTTCCATGAAGGCAACCCGTTCCTAGCAGGTGTATAGCACTGCTGACTTCAGTGACCCGGATGAGCCTGCGTTATCTGTTTTGAGCGGTTGTTACACTATTTGGGAATATTTTACCATTGGATGGTGCGATTGACCAATCAGAATCAAGTATTCCACAGAGCCGTGTAATAATGTTAACTAATGAAACCTTATTGTAGTGTTACCAATGTAAGTAATGTAATCACTTTTATTGACAATAAATGTTTGATTAAGGGCATAACTTGATAATATATTTTGCAATGCTTAGCTAAGACACATTTTTTTTTTTTGTTAACATTTATTGTTGGATTGTTGAAGATAAAATAAAATAAGAAAAAAAAACATACAAAACCTCAGAGCTTATGATAGGTATGCATTAATTTAATTAAACTCATTTGATTTCTGGAGAAAATGAATGGGATTTTACTTCTGAGTCCAGACATATGTCTCCACTGTCACAGCAGGAAAAATAAATAAATAAATTGAGGTAAAAATAAGTGTTTATAAAGTGCTGTTGAACAACCTCACAAATCTCTGCTAAAGAATGAGATGAGGAACGGGAGACTTTTAGATGAGTAAGAGCAGTTATATTTTTACAGAAGAGCATTACATTTTTTTTAAACTGCATCATTCAAAAAAAGCTTAATTATTAACATTTTAACAGCATATAAAACATAGACAAGGATGTACCAATCAAAAGTTTGGACTTTATTAATTTAGCTTTCTCATATACTTAAAAACCCTTTGATTTAAAAGCTTAGGCTGTTTGTCATGCTTAATTTGTGTTCATAATCAATAAATACTATTAATATCTGCAAACAATAATAAACACACATTAACACATGTACATAATGTTATGTATTTATTACTGTTAGTCAAATGCATTAAACTTTTAATAATAAATAAATAATATAAAAACAAAATTTGTACTTTTTTATGTAATTTCCTTTAATTTTAAAATGTTTTTATATAATATTGTTGCTCTATATTTTAATGTTTTAATGAAGTAATAATTTAACCTGGGTTAACCAAATGGAACCAAATTTTCCCCTGAAATAGGGAACCAATCACAGAACGGGGAGGGAGTACAAGACAAGACGATGATGACGTATTCGCGACACACCGAAACAGTTTGTTTATATCTATAGACGATGGCAGTGGACGCCTAATGATACAGCCTAATGTTTGATATTAAACATATCAGCTCAACTGATTTGCAGAGGGGGGATTTAAAGCTGTTCCCTTTTACTGGTGATTCACTGTCTTAATTTTTACTTCATATAACGTTAGCCTTTTTTGTTGATCACACATTTTACCATTTCATATGTTTTAACAGCTAGATCGTGTTGCTATGGACGCAGTTGTTCACTCCAGTAATATAACCGTTTTTAAATTAATAAACTCCTTTTTAAATCAATATTTTGTGTCAAATTATTGATTTATTTGGTAGGTAGCCATATTATAAGTGGGAAAATGTATAGCGAGGCGGTTGTTACAGCGAAGACAACCCCTTCTGACTGATTCAAGACCCCTCCGCTTTGAGTTAGAGTTCGCGGGGTTGTATTCACTATAAGAACCGTCTCGCTATACATTATCCCTTACTTTTATTTATTTATTTCTATGAGGGTGACAAGACAAAATAAAGACTGTCAAGCGTGCAGCTTCTAAAGAAGAGCCTCATCTAGCCTCTGAAGGAAATGACTTGGAAGGACCCGTCCTGCCAAGGAAGTATCCTTGACAAACACGTTTTGTGTATACATAAATCTCTGACCCATCGTCGTCTTCATCGTCTAATTTTCTGTCGCTCTACATACATCATCTGGTATCATTAAACCGATTGGCTATGAGCTACGTACAGGTGCATTTGATAGACATTCGGCTGTGGGCATTCGTAAACCACGCCTCAAATACGAGAAAATGAACATGTGGTTTCCAGACCATGTCTCATTCTCAATGATACGTGGTCTGGCGTTATCCAGGCTAAAAACTAAAACCAGTGTAGAAATGTTCTCGCTGGTTCAAACTCGCTCGCTTCCGCTCTCTCTCCACGTTGGATTTTGGGAAATAGTGCTTCAGCGTGTGGGGCATCAGAGTGCATCATAAATGAGTGGGAAATCAGAGTGCATTATGGGTATCAGAGAGTGGTAAATCAGAGTGCATTATGGGTATAAACATAGGTAATAAAGTTGTTCACTCAGAATTCAGACACCACTACTAAATGTTGGACAACTGATGTAGTGCACGTGCATATATAGTGGATAGAGAGCGGTTTCGGACACAGCTTAAGACACTAAAACTCAAATTTAACTTTTAATTTCAAGAAAGTTACACCTCATGAAGCTATTCTTGGCAAATAGTGTTAACTTGAGAAATTCAAATAAGATATTTTTCAGATTTTGATTTATTTAACACTTACATGCCATACTTCTATTTGTGTTATATCATAGCTTTGATGACTTAACTATTAATCTAAAATATGGCCAGTTTATACTAAAGAATGGATATGATTGAGTCCAAACTTTTAACTGGTATTGTAGGTTAGCAACAATGTTTAAAACAAAATTTGCTTTTGACAGTATGGAAAATAAACAACACATCATTTCATTAGCTAAGGACTGAGTTTCTCACAGCATTCATCTACAAAAAAATCCAACAGGTTAAGAAATGAGTAGAACAAACTGAATAAAGACTTACTGGTGTTACAGTTTATCCTGCCACAGTCTAGATGGGGAAGAACAAGTGACAGATGAAATCGCGTCCTTCAAGGATACAGCTGCAGACATCCAACAACAGAAACACCACCTTCTGGGGACGAGCACATGAAGCGGCCGCCATTCGGGACTCTTTTCCAGCAGCAGTATGAGCATGCTGGACAATATTGTCTGCTAGAACTCGTTTTGACAATTTGATCCAAGGTATCTATGTTAAATGTGTATAATTGTGTTATTATAACCATGTAGCTTAACATGTAGAGAAAATTATAAGTAAACATTCTTAAGACATCTTTATGTCTGTATCTAAATATTGTTCTTTTTGTCTCTCATTCTGAGCATCCAGACAATGTATATTGTAACAATCCACTTAAATAAAAATGGCTGCCTGCTTTAAGCCAAATGGATTCATCAACCCTAGTATTCTTTGTTAATTATCTTCCAAATTACTGGTCACCAACTGTAAGAACAATTATACAGAGAACTGCAGGTTTTTTTATGATAATTTTATCCGGGCTGGAATCCATATGGCCATTTTTGTCATGTGCCGTCAACCGCAACAGAAAAGTGGGAGCAAACAGCCTCGGTCCAAAAAGCACCAGCACCACACACACTTGTAGCATGTTCTTCATATTTTTTTTTTAAAAAAAGACAGTCATCTCAATTAGGACAATATACTGAACTAGTGCAATGGATACTGAATGCTCTGGTTGTTATTTACAGTTAGTGTATGAATGGAAAATGAAAAAATGTAGCACTGAAACTAATTTAATTGACTGAAATTACTATTATTAATTTGGTTGCTGCAAATGCAATATATTTAAGATATGGAGTGGACATGGTGTGCATATGGGTGGATGATAGTAGAAATGAATGTGTGTGTGTGTGTGTTGTGGCCACGAGCTGCAGGTGTGCTGGATGCTCTGGTCTCGGGCTGTTTGCTTACAGGGCCGCAGGCTAAAGGCCGTTGAAGGGGTGAGTACCATCTTTAAACAAGGTCATGTAAATGCCGGTAAGAGCGAGGGATGGGGATGGATACATATTTTCCTGATAACGTGACAAAAATTGTAAAGATGTGCAGATGTACTGATGTTAAAACCACCTTACCATAAGAAAAACAGCAGACACAAATACTGAAGAAGTATCACAAGAGATCTGTCCGCAGCATATCATTTAGGGCTGGGTGATATATTTTATATGTATGCATATGAGTATACCACTATGACTTTAGCATGTTTTTTTTTTTTTGGCCATTTAGTTTCTTGTCTGTGCCAGTAGGCCAGTTTCACATCCACTCCTTGTGTCAAAAAAGTTTACAAAGAACATTTTGATAAATCTTTTATGTATATCATGTGACACCAATGCATATAGGTATATGTTGTTGTTTATTACTACGTATTGTCGTATTGAAGTCTTTAAATTAAAGTGATTACAATTCTTTTGTAAAAACAACATGAAACATGAAAAACAACTTTTTAAAAGATAAAAAAAAATCACCAACTTTTGTGACAGACAGATAAATAGATAGACAGACAAACAGACATATAGACACACAGGTAGGTAGGCAGATAGATAGATGGATGGATGGATGGATGGATGGATGGATGGATGGATGGATGGATGGATGGATGGATGGATGGATAGATAGATAGATAGATAGATAGATAGATAGATAGATAGATAGATAGATAGATAGATAGATAGATAGATAGATAGATAGATAGATAGATAGATAGATAGATAGATAGATGCATCACCCAGCCCTAATATAAATGCTGCTTTCATTTCATTAGATTTTAAATAATAGAATTAATGCACATTTTTAAACCATTGTTTCTCCAATGCGAGTAAATCAATGAGCATGTGTATGAGAATGACTGGCGCAGATGTGTTGCTTCGCTCATGAGGTCAGAGGTTACGTGAGATAGTGATGCGAGAGCTCGTCGGTCCACATCACCCGCAGACAAAGCAAGAGAACGAAAAACAAACTGGAGCAATCCATGCAGATCAACAAAACAACAACAGTTTAGTTTTAGTGTAAGAGAGATGATAACATCCAGTAACTTGCAAATATAATAAATAACGGACGATCGAGGAAGAGAGAATGGTAGAGAGAGAGAATGTCAAATATAGCAGAATACAATACCTAAATTGACGGTGAGTCTGACACGGCCGCTGTCCAGCTCAAGTCGCAGTGTGTCTGCGGACTCACGTGATGTGGCAGCCATCAACAGGCCAAAGGCACGCTGGGACATGAACCGCAGGGACACGTCCTCTGCTTCTGTGTGTATTACCGTCGGCATCACCACCTTCATATACATGCTGCCATCGTAGCTTAGGATAGACGCCTCTGTGGAGAAAACAGACACACACAATAAAGAGTACTTTAACTGGACTTTATTCATGCCACGTCAATTCAAATGTGTTCAGTGATTTAAACAAAACAATGCGTTTCTATGAAGTCTTTCACACGAGTTCAAAATATCAAACTTTAATGATTTGTTGTTCACACCAACTTACAGTACAAAAGTTTACATATGAAAAAATCCTTATGAATCTGTTTAGTTTTATTTGGTCACATCAGAAATTGTGTGAAAAGGCCTTTACACATTTTTGTAACAAGTGATATCATTTATAAATGGCGGCACATTTAGTGCCTATTTGAAAAAGAGTTTGTAATGAAAATGTGCCAGAGTAAATTTCAGCCATAGATTGTAAAAGTCATGTAACACAATTTTTTTTGTTGTTCATTTTAAGGATCAAAAGTGGGTCATGAAAAAAAAAAAAATAAATAATGAAAATAATAACAATAAAGTGCAGAGTATATATCTTATTTTATTTACCCTGGCTATTCTGGTGACAGCGCCACCTATGGGTTATGGCATTTTTCAGATTGCATGCCATTATTTTTGGCATGGATACCATGGGGAAAAATGGCATATCGATTGTTTTTAATATGAGCATATAATTTGGCGGCAGGTATATTAGGCTGCTGTCACTTTAAGACCTGACACACGGATCCATTACTGTGACTGTGTTTACGTGAATACTCGCCAAGACCAGCATTTTGACTTTTTTTTTTTTGTTAGTGTCGTTGCTTTCTTTGGTTTATGAGGAAATTCCAACAACATCGCTTTTTTTTAATTTTCCATAGTTTTGCTTATCCACCGTTTTTAATTATATGACGAACAGCTTTGTTGCTGATACTCCTACAAATGTTGTCCAATTGTATCCAAATTACCAAACATATTTTTGATATTTGCTACCACTACAGGGAAACTCCTTTCTGAAACCAACCAGGTTTGTGTTTGTTGTCTTATGCGATGTTAGCTTAGCATGCTAATCAGTTGATAAGCTAAACATTTGTCATTCTTGTTAATGTGGCTCTCCTGCTAATCAGGCTAACAGTGAGCATTAGCGGTAACGTTGGCTTCACATTATAATCGGCAACCTGCAGACTAATGCTTTCCTGAGTGCATTTTCACCCTAGAAGCACTCCTTGCTATGAAATTAAATATGTATCCTCTGACTGGCGCTCCGTGATAAGCAATGCACACTGGTCCAATGATTTGCAGCTATATTTCTTGTTTATTATTTATTTATTTGAATGAAACAGCATATTATAAAATACATTTTGGGAATTCTCTTACATATGCATAAATTATTTAATGACATGAGTAAAAATATTTATTCTCATGCCTTGATTCTTATCCTTGTAATCCGTACAAATCTTTTTAACCACCTTAACACGCACATACACAGACACACACCAACCCCACCAATCTACATTTACTAGGGCTGTAGTATAATAAATACAGTGTATAACACCATCTTTTCTACATATTCCTTCCTTCCTACAGTACAAAAAAGATCTGATTAAGATCTCATTGCAACACTGTCACCACAATCCACACAGTAGTTTGTTTTTCTGCCGTCTGCTCTATCTATCAGTTCCTTCTCTGACCACAGAGGCGCTCCTCACACACGCAAGGAACGTTTCTAACAAAGTCTCCCATTTCCATTCACATAACCGGACAAAACGCCACAGCACAGAGCTGAGAGGAGATTCAGGGAAAATGGCTTTAAAAAAGCAACCAGCCATGAAATACCTGCCTGGAGTTTTAGAGGTGAAGAAAGAAGAAAGGGCCTTTGGCTGAGAGAGGAGCTGACTGCCTTTGTGTAATGATGGAGGAGTCTGCATTTAACGCATGAGTCGTTTTGGGGAATATAATGTGCATTACACACATGTACAGCTGTCATGTAATATGTGATAGGACACGTTAAACTAATCCATCAGGCTGGCAGCAAAACGTGAGAGAAACCCCAGATAGCAAACTGACATTGAATCAACGTGGAAATATGACATCGAAAAAACGTTGATCCGACATTGTTTTGCTCATCGAATTAACGTTGAACCAACGTCAGACGCGTCATTCTTTCAAAACTAACGGAAAATCAACATGAAATCAACGCGTTGTTTCAACGTTATGAAAGCAAACCAATTTTCGATTTTCATTTAGCTTTGAAGAATGCCGCGTCTGACGTTGGTTCAACGTTAATTCGATGAGCAAAATCAACGTTGTTTCAATGTCATGAGAGACGTCGTTCCCACGTTGATTCAATGTCAGTTTGCTATCTGGGACGTGACATTACAAATATTAAAACATTACTTTAGGCTCAATTTATTAATTATTTTGCAGTTGCAGAATTTATTTATGTTAAAATACAATTTAAAGGTGCAGTGCGCGACAGCTAGCGGTTCGCGTTTCAGCCCACTGCTCACCCCTCCCTTTCGAAGAAGCTACGGTGGCTAAAACTGGAAAAACATCTCGTCGTCTGAGACATTGTCACTGTTTCTGTACCACAGTCCATTATAAACCACATCATGGATAAAGTTTACAAAGCCATTGTCAGGTGAGGATCAAGGGTCTTAATATATAATACAATAATAGTAATCAGCACATTTCTGCCCACATAGTAAACCCAGAAAACAGCGAGGGAGAAGAACCACATGAAAATATGCAGCTACACATTTTTTTCTAACAGGGTAGTAAAAGTTTAGCTGGCTAAATATGAGCTGTTACGGTGGCTGAGCTGGTTAAAGCGTAAAACCTTGACCGTATGAGCCCAAAGGTGCATGATTGTAACAGTGCGCGCCTCCGCATCCCCTAGATACCATTTACTACACACAATCAGCTTTTTTCCTCTGATTTTGAAAACTCTCTGCGATCGACTTAAAATGCTTCAAAGATGGACTTGTTGACCACGATCGACGGGTTGGTGATTCCTGTAACGTTACTGTTTTACGGTCAATGACAAGAGTACTAATCAGCTGTCTCGCGAACGTACGCACATTTATCCCCAAATAGCAAAGCCATAACACAGCGAGGGAGAAGAACTAAGTTACATGAAACAATCCAATTACATATTTTCCACCACTAACAAGGAAAAAGTCACTGCTCACAGGGTTTATGGCTACTTCTAGCTTTCTGCTGCTTCTCTTTCAAGGTAGTGACGAAACGCACTCTCTAGCGATGTTTGTGTGCGTTCGGCTACGGTAAAAACATGACGTCACAATATGTTGACCTACATAGAAGGGGGTGCCTATGTAGATATAAATGTCTCATTCAAAGACAATAAAAACATTACGGTTTATTAAGTTCTTTATACACCACTGAAAACATAGTTATGCATGTCATATTGCATTTCTGTTAATATATACTCTAAAATTTTGTACATTACACATTTAAGGGACAGTTCACCCAAAGAAAGTGAAATTCTGTCATCATTTACTCTCAGATCCAAACCTTTATGACTTACTTTATTCTACGGATTGAACATATTTTGAAAGACCTCAGTAATGTTTTGAACCACACTGGTTTTCTTTTGTTGCGCAAAAGAAAGCGCACAATTTTTTTAACAACAAAATATATTTTTATTAAGTTACTTCTGAAACGTTAAATGGTGAAAAGCTTTTTTATTTACAGATAAGGCAAAATCAGTATCATTTGCATACAATTAATTTGTCTTTGTTCATGTCGATGCACTGTGAGAACAACAGGGTTGCGTTCAAGCAACTCTATTAGCATGCATTAATTCACAAATATAAGAATCAATTCATCACATATTAGAAAACTAGCTTCCCTGCCGACACTGCTACAGACCTGCTGAGTGTCGAGGGAGCTCTTAAGCATTAATGAAGAGCGTATTAACCCCCTGTTTTCAACTACTAGCCTTTCTCAAAGCAAACTGAGCAGACACTATCCACATCATGTGTCTTCCACACCAGTCGAAGTGTGTGTGTGTGTGTGGGTGTACTACGCACACAAACAAATATTGCACAACACAGCTGGATGTTTTGTGGAGATATCAACCGCTCCAAAGCTCATTTTGAATGGTAATGAGGAGATGTGCATTTCCAAAGGGGCTTGCTGGAAATGAAAGTCAGCAGCACTTTACATAATTACCAACTAAATTGCAAGTGACGACGGGAGGGGGAGGTTATAAGCATGAGTGCTACGACACTCCACTGTTAGACTAGAGAACAATCTGTGTTTACAGGTTACACAAAGACTGTCTCTTCCGTGACAGTGGAGAACTTCAACAACCGATGAATAATCAAAATAATATAAATAAAATAAATAAATAAATAAATAAACAGAAAATAAAAAGCAAATATAATATTATAAATATATTATACTATGTATTTTTTTTATTTTATTTATTCTTTAAATCATTTCAAGACTCCCTTGAAAATAAATGATTTTAAATACATAAATAAATAAAAAAGAAAGCAATGTAAATAAACAGTTAATATATGAAAAACTTTAAAAAAATTTTTTTTCTGCTATTAAGGAAACATTTCACATTTTTGTTTAGTTTAGCTTAAATGACTAAAATAACTAAAACTAATAAATGACAAAAAAAAAAAAACCATTACGTTCATTTTATAATACAATTACAATAGTACATCTAAATATGTTTTCTAATGTTTTTGGTCATTTTTAATGCACATTTTGTAAAATTATTAACTCAAATACAAAGATCTGTGTAAATCAAATACACAGAAATATGTCAAAATGTATGATGTCTCAGACATAGACAACATAAAAACTGTGCGTTATTTTTCACTCACATACCCTCCCACACACCCTTCAAAGTAATAGCCCAGCACAATTTATGTATTGTTTGTTGTAGGCTATATTTGTTTGTATATAGATGTGCATTGACCTAATAAAAAGTTACTATTACTGAAACATAATTAAAAAAAATATGCTTATTATTTTATGCTGTGGCTCTTTTGAAAAAAAAAAAAAATGCATCAACCAAAAATTAAAGGGCACCTATTAT